GAATTTTCCTTGTCCAATTATTTCTTAATTGGACAGCATGGAGTCCTATTACATATACAAATTGACATGTTTCGACCTTGTCAAACGCCATCCTCAGAAAGTGAAGTACAAGTGTACACAACATATAAATAGAGCAAAGGAGTAGAATAATTAACATAGGATGGCATTTGACAATGTGAAACATGTCAATTATAAGTTTAATGATCTTCATCAAAGTCAAAATCACAAAATCTAATTAGATAAGAATCTAATAAAGAATAATAAATAAGTTCTTAATTACATGTACACTGTTCTCAAACAACCTACCCTTCTTTTCTTCTCCTTTGCCTTCTGTCAAATCAAATGTGTACACTTGATTTGGGAAGAAAGATGGCAACAACAGCTCAATAGTTGGCCTTCGAGATAAAGTTGAGTAAATAATAAGTTTGCTTGTTGGTTTTGCAGAGGGAAAAAACTAGATAACTAGATAACATGGGAAGAAATGTATTTTGCCATTTCAGATACCACTACATTATTTTACATGTGTGTCTTCTCCTGAAATGATACTCTAGGGAATAACACATGGTCTGAAATGGGAAAACATTACACCCAAGCTAGAGAGTTTCACTCTCCAACATACAGTACTGTACCTGATGAGATGGGTCAAAGCCAAAACACCCAAGACAAAGAAGTAGAGAGTAAGAAGAAGGTTGACATACTCTTTACTGAAAATCTGGAAAAAAAGGATAAGCCTACAATGTAGATTACTAGTAGAATATTCATGTGTAATAATCAAGTAAAGGTACAAGTGTTTTTACTGTTGAAGCTGTACAGTTGGCATTTGTGAAAAATTCCAGTAATGGCTGAATGAAATGAAAGTGACTGGGAGGGGGGGGGGGGCAAATGTGTCCCGGTTTAGGGTCTGCATTTGGGTGTAAGGTTTCTCTGCAAGGTCTTACGGTCATTCTTGCTATGAGCTTGTGTGACAATAACAACCGACATGTCATGACACACTTGAAAAAAACTGTACTAGAGCTATTTATCAATCAGAATCGTTTTGACATTCATGGGAGTCCTATGTGTGTACAGCCTTACAACCTCACAGCCTTACAACCTTACACCCTTACACCCTTGTAAGGTTGTAAGGCTGTAAGGGTGTAGGGCTGTAGGGCTGTAAGGGTGTAAGGTTGTAAGGCTGTAAGGCTGTAAGGCTGTAC